TCCTCCGATTTATGAATGTCTCCTTATTCTATATGAAATTTCACTATATGCCATGTTCTCTTTTTATTAATCAGTCAGCCAATGGTCTATGACTTCATAGTATATTTTAAATTCAGCGAGATCAAGTTTGCCTATTTACTTATTATTCTTCAAAATCCCTCTGTGCAGTGTTTTAGAATCTTTGCATTCCTCTGAAATGTTCATTAGTTTGCTCTATAATTTCTAATTATTCATACTATAAATGGATTTTGAAAAGATCCACTAACAAATACACTAAAGAGAGAAAATAACAAATAGAAACACATGAAACCTCCCTTATCCAAGGCTGGCACTGTTAACATGTTTGTGCATTTCTTTCAAAATCTCTATCAGGGATGACCCTGCTAGTTTTGCTACGATTCTTCCTTGGCTGGTAAACAGAAAAGTGTTAGAGCATGATCAAAATTATGATGTAGAAAAAAATGTTTGATTCAGTTTATCGTAGAACTGTGATTTATTCTTAAAATACTAGAAAACATAATCAATTTCTCTCAGATGTGAATGTCTAATCTTTTGAGACATGGAAAAAGTAAACAAGTTAATGAGCTAGATTCACTCACACCCTTTTACATTGTTGCTCTGATATATGACATCGTGTTTAATTTCACTGGAAACATAATCCAGTTAGTAATGTATCATAAAGATATCCCAGTAGCATGCCAGTCATGCGGAACACTTTCTCTGGTTTTCTTTATTTCCTAACGATGAAGAATTTCACTTGCTCCCAACACATTACAAAATATAGTGCCATTTAATTCCTAAGTTCATTTCTGTATGTATTTATTCAACAGTATCTTGGTGATAGGAAGTGCTCAATAAACATTTGTCAAATGGAGAAGAAAGAATGAAACACGCCACTTAAATAGAGTGCTGTGCAAAATGGCACATTATTAATGACTACATTGGAAGTCCTAGAAGTGGCTGATGTAGGAAGAAATGTAAGTCTTTATTCAACAGCAACGTCTGGGAGATGAATAGCGGGCACATGCGATGTGTGATTTATTCATATGCACAAGTAGGAGATTTATAGGTCGCTATTAAGCTACTCGAGTTCCCACTCAGTTTTAGGCTGCTCTTTTGTCATGATTAGCTATGTTGTGACTATGTTAAATAACAGGTTGAATGTGATGAAATATGCAAAATGATTGAACAGATTTTACATGGACATTGTTCCAGCTAAGCCATGGCTGTATCTCTGCTTGCGTTTAAACAATTAGACTCACGCACATCTACAAAAGCAAAAGCTCTTTTATCTGGACCTGAGGTCCTTTGTCAGAGAGTGGGCTGGGTCTCCCAATTCATCCGTATGTTGAAGTCCTAACCTCCAAACCTAGACTGTGACCATATTTGGAGAAAGGGTTTTTGTAGAGGCAAAGTTAAAATGGGGTCACTACGTTAAATTAGGGAGTGGACCCTGATCCAATATGACTGGTATCCTTTTAAGAAGAGCAAATCTGGATGCAGACATGCACAGACTGAAGACAAAGAGAGGACACAGGGAACAGTCAGCCACCTATAAGCCAAAAAGAGAGCGGGAAGGGCGCCCCTCTTCCACGGCCTCAGAAGGAATCACCACCAGCACCCTGACCTCAGGCTTCTGACTTCCGGACTGTGAGAAAATAGATCCTGGCTATGTAAGCCACCCGATCGGTGGTGCTTTGTTACAACAGCCTAGCAAATTATGTCCATGAACTAACAGACAATATAATGAGGAAGAATGTTGAGAGAGAATGAGACATCTTTCAACCTCTCAGCTTTAGAAAAAATGAGTCATATCAGCCAGCATACTATCCTCAGGGTCAAACACCATCAGCAAAGTCACTGTTCCAGGTGAGACCTCTGACTTACCCACCCCATCACTAACCCACTAGGAACTGAAACTCAACTGATTTCACTGCCCACTTCCACACCATGCGCCCTGAGATTGGCCAAGGTAGCTATAACGTGTGCTTGTGTATCTGTAAGAGTGTGCAAGCTTGCCATGCTTTCAAAGGGTAGCTCATGCTTGGCTTTGCCCCTGAGGTCTCCAAGTCACCCGTGCGTCTCCTATCTGTGTCCGTGCCGACCTAACAAATGTAACAAGAGGAGAGGAATGCAAGGAGGAGCCATTCCCAATTCCTTCACCCCCAGCCCAGGGTCACAGAGAACAGGAAGAGGGTATACATTTTATGAACAGGGTACATGTAATGGCACTGCCCAAGGCACAGGAAAGCCTCCATGGTGAGGTGAGAAGGTCACAGTTGTTAACCTGACATGCGATGCCCAGTAGCGTTTACAGAGACCTGCCACTATCACCTCTCAGCTCTTCCAAACCTGGGACAGGCCCACTGTGGCAGCTCATCGCCCTGGAGCGAGGCTGGCCCAGGGCGCCAGGCAAGTGTCACTGACAAGTTCTAAGTTCGCAACTCTACCATGCATTTCTCTGTGTCATCTTAGTAATAGTCAAGTTTTATAATAGCAACAGAGAGAGCAAAGTCATAATTTTCCATGCTTCATGACTCAGAATAATTAATTTAATAACTGTGCCATGTGAGAAGAGTAAAGAAAGAGGAGAGGGGTGTGGATATATATGATCATTGAAGCATAAACAGCTGCAAGGAAAACAAATTGCCGGGAGAGGGCTGCAAGTAAAGCTCACTGGAAATATTTTTCAGATGCTAATTTGATTCTTCTATGGAGCCTTAAAGCAGCAGGGTCCGCAGGTGCACTGTTTATCTCCACATGTTTTTATTTTTAGCAGTTACGTAACCTCATGTCTCTAAAAAACCAATTAAACACCTTCCTGATCTCTACTGAGAGTTTTCCCTAAGTAGTTCTCTACCCAGGCCGCAACAGAAGGGCGATTCCATTTACAAGCGCCTGCTGGAGGGCGTTTCATCATCAGAGGTGTCGGAAATGTACCGAAATGAATAAACGGGGCAGAAGCAAAGGAAGACGCAGTTTCCCCTGGACACAGTGACAGTCTCCAGGGTTTGGTGCACAGCAAACATCGAGACGCCAGATCTCAGATGAGCAGTTCTCTCTGTTGTGCCACAGTCTATAGCAGCGGTTCTCAACCTGTGGGTCGCGACCCCTTTGGCGGTCGAACGACCCTTTCACAGGGGTCACCTAAGACCCACTAGCTGGCAGATGCCTAGGAAGACTGTGGTCTCAGAGAGAGAGCTGAGGCAGAGTCTGAAGGTGCTAACAGCTTCAGGTCATCAGCTAAGTGCTCTTCTCACAGCTGGACAGCAATTCTTCTTGAAAGGAGAGCTTCGAGGCACCTCAGCAGCTCCTACATCCCTCTGTATTCACCCTCCTTTCCTCCCCAGAGTCCCCAGACTTCTGGGACCATCTGCCCTCCCTCAAAAACCATCAAGTTCCAAATTCTCTCATGCATGTGATAAATTTTTGGCCTTGAATACTTACTTACTGCTGAGCATTTCTTCTCTGCATTTTCTGCTGCCCTGTGAAGTGCTCTTCTAGGGTCTCCCATTTTGGGGCCTGGGAATGAACAGGGTGAGCTCTGATCCTCTGGGGGTGGGAGGGCCACACTGGCTGAGCTTGTGCTCAACTAAAATGTTTAAAATGCAGCAAACCTCTCAGCTCAAGGATGACTCTCCTTCACAGACCCCCCTATTCACATCATTTGTTTTCATTTTATTCTCATAATTTTTTTTTAATTTTTACTTTTCAACTAGAGGCCTGATGCACGAAATTCATGCAAGGGCTCGGCGGCCCTCGCAGACCCTGGCTGCCTTGGCCCGTGCAGCCCAGCTTCATCTGGAAGGTCATCTGGATGGTCGTTCTGCTGTTTGGTGTAATTAGTATATTAGCTCTTTATTATATAGGATTATAGTTGACATTCAATGTTATTATATACTAGTTTCAGGTGTATGGTATAGTGGTTAGTCAATTATATACTTTACAAAGTCATCCCCCTGATAATTCAAATACCCATATTGCCTATATTTCCTATGCTACATCCCCATGACTATTCTGTAACTACAAATTTGTACTTCTTAATCCCTTCACCTTTTTCACCCAGTCCCTCCCCTCTGGCAGCCATCAGTCTGTTCTCTGTATCTGTGAGTCTCTTTCTATTTTGTTTGTTTGTTTTGTTCTTCAGATTCCACATGTAAGTAAAATCCTATGGTATTGGGCTTTCTCTGTCTGACTCATTTCGCTCAGCATGATACCCTCTAGGTCCATCCGTGTTGTTGTGAATGACCTATTCACATAGTTTTGATGCTATTTCCTAAGGACAGTGACCCAGACTGTGTTGTGCTAAGAACACAGCTGCTTCCTTCCTGTGATCATTGGCTCACAAAGGGAGCTGGGCCTGAACTCCAGATGACCTTCCCTGAGAAGCAGAAGACTACACTCAAGTCCGCTGTGACACCCTAGAGTAGCGGTTCTCAACCTGTGGGTCGCGACCCCTTTGGCGGTCGAACGACCCTTTCACAGGGGTCGCCTAAGACCATCCTGCATATCAGATATTTACATTACGATTCATAACAGTAGCAACATTACAGTTATGAAGTAGCAACGAAAATAATTTTATGGTTGGGTCACAACATGAGGAACTGTATTTAAAGGGCCAGAAGGTGGAGAACCACTGGTCTATAGGTTTCCAAGAAGGGAATCCTCCAAGTGGGAGCACATGTGCCTAAGACCCACACCAAAAACACAGGCCGCTGAAGGGAGTGAACCATTATTCCTATCAGGTTGGTAGTCCTTAAAGCAAATCGTCCTTTACTTAATCAGGTAAAACTCAGATCTTGTCTACTTTCATTCAGTTTTATCTTCCTCAAATACAAGAGATACCAGCCTTCTCCCTTCTCCCATTATGACTCTTGATTCCACCATTCGAACAGCCGGACTGTAGGCAACTCCTTGTATATTCAAGGGGCTGCACCTCCCCTCCCCCCGCCAGGCCTCTCGGAGGGCCTGCCCTCGGGCCAGGGGCCGCAATGGCTTACCGACAGTGTTTGTGGGATCCGGTCAGGGTTTCGATCACGAAGCACTCGCCGTCGTTGAGACAGTAGGCCAGGTCCTTGTCTCGGCAGGGCTTGAAGTGCTCGGACCGCTCGGTGGCATACGTGGTGGTGTCTGTAAGGGAAGCACACAGAGCCGTGTGGTCAGTGGTGCGTTCTGACACCCCGGCTCCTGTCTCTGCCCTGAATCTCCGCATGGAGGCCCTCTCCTGGCACTGACCGTGGGAACGCTAGACAGACCCGATGAAACCTCCCCTGTAATGAAAAAAATGCAATTGGATGTGACCTCCTCCAAATTCATACAGTGAAACCTAATCCCCAAGGTAATGGTATTAGGAAGCGAGGGCCTTTGGCAGAGATTAGGTCATGACTAGATCTCCAAGACCTGCTTTGCCCATTGGGTCATGTGAAGACACAGCGAGAAGACCGCCTTCTATGAACCAGGAATACCTCACCTGACACTGAATCTGCAGGCACCTTGACCTCGGACTTCCCAGCCTCCAGGACTATGAGAAATAAGTTTCTGCTGTTCCTTATAAGTAACCCAGTCTTTGGTATTGTTATAGCAGCCTGGACAAACTGCATTGGATGTCTTATTTCTCCCTGAGGTTTTAACAACTGGGATCACTGGAGACAAGCCTTATCTGAGGATGCATTCGCTGTGAAAACCGAACGACCCTTCAAACTCCTCCAATCTGCTCTCATTAATTTCAGTTTTAACAAACACATTGTGTGCGGGAATGAAACAATGCCCCTCTCCATTTAGTGTTGCCAAATGTCATCAAACATCTGATCAGTGTCTATTGTGACTGATTGTGGAAACCATTGTCAGTTTCTGTGAGGTTTTTTTGATGTTTATTTTTGTTTTTCAGTTATAGCTGTAATTGGCTAATAGCCAAGCCAATTATCCCTTCACTTGATCCTTTTGTTATGTAATTAAAATGCAAATGTTCCAAATTCTAAAACAGAATCTTTAATGTGAAATTTTTTTCTGGTGATTATTTAACAGAACCAAATTATTGCCATTTTTTAAGCATTATCTTAAACATGTATTTTAAAATCATAATTACTTACATTTTTTTCAACTAAGCAACACATCTACATCTACTTCCTAAACACAAAACTAGCCATAAGTATGTGCTGTCTGCTAGACACAGACTCTATTATCACGTGTAGACATCCTAGTTTAACGTTTTCAGCAACAAGTGTATTAGCACTAATCTCACATTTGGAAAAATATATTTTAAAAGTCAAAGATGAAAAATGATTCGGCTTTTGAGCTCTTTTAATTTCCTTTTCACAGACCTACATTAACACTAATATTCAACAGCACAGGCAATTGTACCTGCTTACTACCTGGAGGTTGCAATGAGCCGTTCCTGGCCGTCATCCACACTGAGGGGGCAGTGATCTTCCTAAAAGGAGATTCCCTCCTGTCCTTCAACATTTAAAACTCCTCTGGGAGCCCCATTCCCATAGGAATAACTCAAAATCCCATAGCGGGGCAAAGAAAGACAATAGGCCATGTGGAATTTTGCCTGTCTAATCTCATCTTCTTGCACCCTAAAACACACACCTTAATTTCTGTTTTTTCATTTCCCCAAATACCAGGAACTATCACACTGCTCCAATCTAGACCATCTTTAGCTTTGCTGGAAGACACCGAGAAATCGTTCAGAGCGCGCGTCATTTCCCCCTTGCGTCCCTCTAGCACTTTTTATCACCGGCATCACTGTGCTTAATGCTACAAGCAACCATTTGTTCACGTTTGTTTCTTTAGTCTGTGAGTTCCTTGAGGCCAGACTGAGCCTGAGCCTTAATCAGAACTGGTGCTCAGTAAAAACGTTTTCAGTAAATGTGATCACTCTAACATTGCCAACAGTTTAAATGCCAGGATGAAAGATATGATAGTTACAATCATATGAACATTAGTGCGCATCCTACAACAAAATGTTAGATATAACTTCACATTAATGTTATCATTTTTGTATACTCATTTTAACATTGATGAATATTGAAAAATAAATATTATCTTCAGATTCAGACAGATGCTCACTCATATACTACTCATATTCCATGAGCATTGAAGAACCCACTTCTAATATCCTTTCTTGGTGATACAATAGGAACTTATTTTTTCCATTTCAAAATACCTGCCCATTAATACTTTGTCACAAAATAAAGGCTCTGTAAAACAGACATATCTTCTGTTTTCCAAGATAAATCTACAGGATGATTTGTTATTTAAGACAGTATGTGATAAATAGTTTCACAGGCTCAATCTCTCTTTCTGTGGGAAATACTTAAAATTCAAGAGCTCCAAGCAAAAGATTCAGTAGGGAACACCACACAGTTGACTGCTACTGTGACTGCTGAAGTATAGTAACTCATGATCAAGTTAATTAAGTTTTCCTTTAATTTCTATTATCCATTTATTGATATCCACTGATCATTTCTCTAAGAACAGCTCTTCATTAACATGACCTACAGCATAAAAAGTGAGATCCTTCTTTCATAATCAGTGGTTTTAACAAGCTACAGGCTCCAAGAGCAATACGATGGCAAAGCAATTACAATCAATTAGTTTCATCTGACAACTACTGTCTCCAGTGGTTACCTCCCCATTCTACCAACTGCTTTCCCCATCATGTCATCCTCTATCAGAGGTTCAGAGACCCAGGTAAATGCCTCTGCAAACACCCAAGTTGGGAGAGAATAGAGATTGTCAGGCTTAACATACTCAGGTTTCCTATTTCCACTCTTCACAGAACCTCAAAATTAAATTAAAATGCACCTGCTTATCCTTCACAATAATTTGACTGAATTAAAAGAAAATTACATTAGTTTGGTAACTGAATATAATAAAAAGTAATGGGATGTTGGGCTTAGAATTAAAAGAAAATTACATTAGTTTGGTAACTGAATAAAATAAAAAGTAATGGGATGTTGGGTTTAATCTTTCTATCCTATATAATAAAAGGATAATATGCAAATATGAATGGCGAAATGACCGGTTGCTATGACGCGCACTGACCACCAGGGGGCAGATGCTCAACACAGGAGCTGCCCCCTGGTGGTCAGTGCACTCTCACAGGGGAGCGCCGCTTAGCCAGAAGCTGGGCTCACCAGAGCTGCCCCCTAGTGGTCAGTGCACTCTCACAGGGGAGCGCCCCTTAGCCAGAAGCTGGGCTCACCATTGGCAAGCGCAGCTGTGGTGGCGGGAGCCTCTCCCGCCTCTGCTGCAGAACTAAGGATGTCTGACTGCTGGCTTAGCGGGCCTAAGCCCTCAGTCAGACATCCCCCAAGGGCTCCTGGACTGCGAGAGGGTGCAGGCCGGTCTGAGGGACCCCCCCTGAGTGCACCAATTTCATGCACCGGCCTCTAGTAGGTAAACAAACTGCAATTATCAATATATTTGAAATCTTTGAATTCACCTGAGCATTTGACCATATGGTACCTGTATAACACTACTCACCTAAAATTACAGACATTGGGCAAGGTAAAGAAAACTTACCAGGATGGAGGGGAAGAAAAGTGAAAAAAATACATGTATAGAGATTTTCTAAAAGAGAGGCCTGAAAGATAAAGGAAGGTTAGGCTTAAAATGAACAAAGATGGTGCTAAGGAAGGCTCTTCCAAGCACATGACTGAAGGTCCAGGTCTCAGGTCAAGGAAGTCCATTGCTGGCAGGGGGGATAGGACTTGCACTTGGGGCCGCAGGGGTTGTGCAATTATCCAGACCACTCGTCTGGCACTAGTTATCTAGAGTTAAATGTGTTTTCTTATATTTTTATGGGCTTCAGTCTCTACCCCTAGGGAGGTCAGGGAGAGTGCCTTGCTTTTAAGTTTTGTATTTTTTCCACATCATGTAGCCTACAAAGTAAGCAATCAGTACAGTAATTAAACACACAGTGGGAGGTGGTGGTGCTTACTGCATTAAAGGCGAAATGGGAAGAAAATGTAAGGCTGGAAGACAGAAATCCCTGCAGATTTTGCAATGAAAGTTAATTTATTAATGAATTAAAACAATGACTGGTTTTCCCCTTAAGTACCGAGTGGAACCTGAAGATTGCGGATTGAGGATTTCTATGTTGCCGGCACAATGCCACACACAACGGGGAGCACAGATTTTGTTGTGGGAACAAGAGTGCCAAATGGGCTATTACAGATAATAACTGCAGCAGATAATCAAAGAAAGGGGGAGTGTCATTTGGGCTGCAGTTATCTTGGAGGGTTTCCCAAAGGGCTGGCCTTCGGGTGAGGTCTTAAAGGGGAATGATTTCATTGGCCCAGGAAAAGGAATGGCACCTACTGATCTGAAGAGGGGCACACCTAAGGAAGGAGAATGATGAGGCCCGCATAGACCCTAGTACACTCTTCACATTCCCGGCTTGAAAATGTCAGTTTCATCAAGCAGTTCTTTCCTTCCCCCACTGAGTTCATGACATGACAATTCTCCAAGAAAAGTTAAGAATCTGGTGGTGCATCTAAAAGCTTTCAGGATTAGGAAAATGCTTTTACAGGCCAGAAGCCATTTCAATAAGGTCATTGACTCCAGCAGTGGGTCTGCGGGAGCCCTGGTGGGAATGAACCTGCTGCTCTACATTACAATCCCCCCTGGAATCTGCCACTTTGTGCCCCCCAGGAGGGAGCACTGGCATGGGACTGAGCTAGAAAATACTGAATGGCCAAGGAAAGCTGCAAGGAAAGGGAAACAAACCATTTCTCAGCTGGCGAGAGGCAAAGATAGCTCTGTCCCCTGTTCGAGCCGAGATCAGATGGCTGTTCACTTTGCTGGCGTGGGAGAAATGGGGAGTGCTGGGCGAGGAATTTCAAGTTCAATTGAGTCTCAGGGCTGCTGTGAGGACTGAGGGTTCCTTGTGTGTCCCAGAGCTACCATTTCTCACCACCCACATAAAGAGGACTCTTGTTAAATTTGCATGACCTACCTGCCACCTTCCCCTTTGAAATGTTGCTTTTAGAAACTCCTCTCTGGCTTAAGCAAACGCTCCCAGGACAGAGCTTGCTCAGCGGAATCGCCTTTATTTGGGAACGGCGGACTTATTAATGCTGAGTATTTTCCCTTCTACCTGCACGGGCACGCACATGCCCATA